GTCACACTCAAGCTCAATCTCAGCGAGCGTCCCGCGACATGAGCAAGTATCGACAAGTGTCGTTACTTGGCCGGCACCGTCCCAGCCGGCGTCTCCTCCGAACGCGCGCCATGCGCACACGCCCCTGCCTCCCCTCTCCGAAGACCTGCCGACGCTCAACTCAGGTCTGTCGCCCGCCGACACGAGCGGCGCTGGGAGCGCCATGGCCTCGCCAAAGTCTGGTACGCCTGTGCTGTCGACGGTCGCGAAGACGAAGAGCCTGTTCTACCCGAGCGCGTCCGCGTCGCTGTCGCCGAACGCGACGGGCGCGGGCACGACGGTGACGTACCACCTGGTGACGGCGCATCTGGCGCTGCTGGCGGTGCTCCCGACGGCGATCTTCGAGGCGCGGCGGGGGCTGGTGGAGTACAACGTGGTGTTTTTCCGGGAGGGCGTGCGGGAGATATGTGAGGTCGAGGAGGAGGCGAGGAAGGTTGGCTGATGGCGGTCACGGTCGGCGTGCCTTGTGTTTTTTTTTTTCAAAATGTCTGACACGCTTGGTCCGCACCTGGCTGTGTATATTGCACTGAATGTACATATAGGAGCGAATTCGCGAAGGCCGCTGTCCGTGACGAGAATCTCCCACGGACGGGCGCTCATGCGTTGGACATTGGAAGTGCGACGAACGTAGCTGACAGCTTCGATTTCAGGCCACACCGCTCCCTGAGAAGGGACGCGGAGCGGATGATCGCCGAAGCGCTGATCGCGTGGCACGGAGATTGCTCGTGCATCCCTGGCGATGCATGGTTCGGTCGAGACTCGAGACATTGGAAAGAAGACAAGACATTGGCTCTAATATTTCGCGTTCGTTGCTGGAGACCAGTCGAGGGCTTCGAGGGCCAGCTGTGACTGGTGGAAAGCGCGGAGATGGATCAGTGCATCAGCCTCGCGGCGGACGCATGTCGGTGTCGGCACGCCGTCCAAAATGGGCAGTTCTCATTCCTTGAACGCGCCAGGCCTTCCACAGCTCTCTGATCAGCATGTGAGCCAACGTCTCGACGAGTTCGAAACGGCGTCCAGCGTCGTAAGTTTTCTTCGATTTTACTCGCAGATGCGGAGCGCGCTGAGCGATGGTTTAAATTGCGTGCGAGGGGTGCGGCTGTAGCAAGGCCGCCGGGGGAAGCTCTCCCCTCGCAGCGTGCCGTCCTCAAGTGCCCGTGCTTTCGCTCTCCCAACTCTCTGCCTGCCCCACCCCACGAGCACCGTCCCTCATATGTCCCTCTCTTCCCCTCCTCGTCTCTCGTCCCAACCGCCAGCCATCCGAGGTCTGCTTCCAGGTGAATTTATGGCCTCTGTAACGTCCAGCGCGACGGCGCCATCCTCCACCGCCAGAATCAAGCGCAAGCCCCCGCCCTCCTTTCCCTACTCTCCTCGCTACCCGCCTCCCGACCCATCTGACCCCTTCGTGCCGCTTGCCGTCCTTCGCTCGCGCGCACACTCCAGCACCACTGCCCTCGACTCCCCCGACCTCCAGAGCACGCGCCCCAGCACCGCCGACTCACGCGGGAGTAACTACCTCTTCTCTGACACTCCCGACCTCCGCTACAGCTCGACGCCCACAAAAGTCGCCGAGCCAGAGCCTCAGCGTCCGTGGTACGGCCTTGCCAAGGGCTACCTCTCCGACGCCGCCAAGCCGCTCCGCCCGCCCAAGTCGCGCAAACGGCAGAGCCTGGGCCGCGACACTTGCGCGTACTTTAGCGATGCCGACCTCGTCAACGAACGTCGCCTCACTCTTCACGCACAGGCGGCAGCGGCGGCCACTACCACTCCGCGGCGGGCCACCGAGCCGCTCTCAGCGACGCCGAGGAACGCACAGGCGAGCATCGCCCGCCGCGACTCGCAGTATCACTACCGCCGCCGCAGCCAGTCTGTGAATGCACTCACGCCGACCAGCAAGCCGGGCAGCAGGGAGCCTGCTCCCGCGGTGCCCTCGGCGCGCGCGAACGCCAGCGAGAGCGCGCAGTATGCGTATGACGTGCGCCAGTCGCACGGATATGTGTTTGGTGAGGCCGATCGGCTCGACTTTATTGACTATGGCGAGGTGCCCCCTCTGCCGCGGCGTGAGGGCCACGGCGAGGCTCCGATGCATGGGCACGCGCGGTCGTCGCCGCAGACGTCGATGCGCTCCGAGACGAGCCGACATCCCACGCCGCCGATGACCCCAGACGACACGATCAGCTCCATCAGCATCACAAGTCCCCCGACCGGCCGAGACGTCTCGCTCTCGCCTCCGCAGCGGGACTCCAAGCCTCTGCCCGTGCCTTCTGAAGCTCACGCCACCATCGGCCACTCTGACCGCACCACTATCGTCGCAGATACGCCCGTGAACGAGTTCTCCATCCTGATGCCCCCCTCTGTGGCTCTGGCAGTCCGTGGGCCTTCGACCCCACCCTCGACCCCGCCATCGCCGGTCGACGAAGAGGGTCTGGCGCCTCTGGCGTCGACCGTCTCGCGGCTTCCTGGGCGCAGCGTCGAGTCCGACACGGAGGTTATGGTCGTCGACAGCCTGCGGCGACGGAGCCGGACGACCAGTCTCAGCGAGATGCGCCGCCGACTCCGCAGGCCGCCACCCGTTACTACCGGCGTCCGCACCAAGGGCATCTCGAGCCCGTCGCCTATCTCGTCATCCGAAGACGCGCTCCCCGCCCAGCGGCGCGTCGACAAGACGCTCAGCGCGATCATCGACACGTCGTCCGTGAGCACGACATCCAACACGCCCGTCGAGGTCCGCGTCTCCGCGCCGCCACTGCCGCCACTGCCGCCGCCGCCGCCGTCGTCCGAGCCGCTGCTACCCATTGCGGCGGCCCCGAAGCCGAAGAAGTCGCTCAGCCACGTGAACCTCGGCCTCAAGCCGCTTCCAAACGTGAGCCTCGCGCCGACCGTTGCGCCGAGCACGAACACGAGCATCGCGAGCGTCACCGGGTACGGCGCCCTCACGCTCACGCGGCCCCCCGCCGCGCGCGAGCCCGAGCTCGTCCGCGCGCAGACTGTACCCCCGCCGTCTCTCTCGGACCACGAGCGTGCCCCCGAGCCGCGCCGCACGCAAACGGGCCCCTCGCACGCTACGAGGCAGCAGATGCAGCAGCAGCAGCAGCAGATCATGTCGCGCCGGTCCCTCGCCGTACCGCCGCCTGCGCCGCACATGTACGACTCGGACGGGGAGGACTCCGCCCCCGCCGTGCACTTTGCGCACGCGCTGAGCCCACCTGTGACGCCGCTCTTGCCGTCGCCGCTCATTGACGACACCGCGCCGGCTCCCCCATCGCCGCCATTTCGCGCGTCCTCGCCCATTCCGATACCAAAGCCGGCGCCACACCGCCGCGGCTCGGGCCAGTCTACCGCGCGGACGGGCTCTACGCCGCCACCGCCGAGGCAGGCGCAGTCGTCGCCCGGCGGCGGCGGCGCACGTGCTGCGGACGTTGTCGTCCCCGCGTGCTACCGCAAGCCCGAGCCACTCCCGCTCTCGCCGCCGCCGCGCGCCAAGTCGCCGATCGCGGCGCGCTTCCAGGACGCCGCCCCTCTGTCGCGCGAAGAGGGGGAGGGCGACGTGCCTGCGCAGCGCACGCGGAGCCCTACGCCCGCGCAGAGCGTGTCTCGCGCCAGCAGGGGCGTGCGCCGGCGCGAGGAAGAGGATGACGACGTCGACGTCGACGAGAGGCGCTCAACGAACCAGACCCAGAGCCAGAGCCAGAGCCGACACTCGAGCCAGCGTTCGCGCTCGGTGGAGCAACACCACGACACGGGCTACCTTCCCGTGGCGCAGCTGCACCCCACGATGACTGCGGCTGCGGCGCGTGCGGGGTCTGTCTCTGTGCGCCCCGGGGCGGCGCGCGGGTTGAGCGCGGCGTCCGTGAAGGCGCAGGTCGGCACGGGCGCACGCGTGGACGTCGACGACGACGACGGTGCCGAGGGCACGTTCAGGGCGCCGCTGCCGCCGGCGCGTGGGCAGAGCCAACGCCTGCGCAGCCCCGAAGCGCGTCCCGCGGTGGCTCGCGGCGCGAAGCTGCCGCCGCCACTGAAAGACCTCGACTCGCCGCTCCCCCGCCGCCGAAGGCGTTCCTCGTCCGCGGCGACGATGCCGAACGCTCGCCAGCTCCGCGCACGCCGCTCTCCCCGCTGGCGACGCCGGCTCCGGCGGCCCGCCGGCAGCGCATGGCGTCGGCGCCAGCTCCGGCACCCACGCTCCCCGGCGACAACGACGACAACGACGAAGCGCTGCTCACGCACGGCCGCGGATGCTCGCCGGTGCAGAGCAACGTATCGCGCCGCGGGCACGGGCTCGGCCGGTCGTTCGCCACCGCCGACGGTGATGATGGCGCACTGGTACAAGATTTTGCGGGTGACGCGCTGCCGAGCCGCGAGCAGCTCGCGCGGGCGGCAGGCCTCGTGGTCGTCGCGCAGAACGGCGTGCGCGTGCCGTTCGGGGAGCTGTTCGCCGAGCGCAAAACGGTGGTGGTGTTCATCCGGCACTTTTGGTGAGTTTCTCTTTTGGTAATGTTGGCTGGTTGGCTGGTTTGTGGGCGGGTACTGATGTAGATGATGTAGGTGTCCGCACTGTCAGGACTACATGTACGCGCTGTCGCGCAGCGTCGACCCCGAGGCGCTGCGCCGCGGGAACGTCGACCTCGTCGTCGTCGGGAACGGCTCGCCGGCGATGATCAAGTCGTACAGACGTACGTGCCCGCTGTCTGCCTGCATCCGCGTGTCATCCTGACGAGCACCCGCTTGCCCCCCTCAGAGATCTTCCGGACGCCGTTCCAGCTGTACGCCGACCCGAGCCACAGGGTGTACCACGCGCTGGGCATGACGCTGCGCACGACAGACCCAGGGCCCGAGCACGAGCGCGGGCGGTACGTGCGCCACGGCGTCGTCGGGGGCATCGCGATGGTGGTGCGGAACGCGCTGCGGGTGGGCATGCCCGTGTGGGAGAAGGGCGGGGATCACGCGCAGCTCGGCGGGGAGTTTGTGCTGGGGCCTGGGTGAGTTCGTCTTTGTCTGGACAGTCAAGGGAGGACTAATTGCCGTGGGCAGGTTGACGTGCGCGTACGCACACCGAATGAAGAACACGCGGTCGCATGCGCCCATCTTGGACGCGACAGCCGCGGCAGGCGTGCACATGTACGTTCCACGGCCAGCGGTAAACGGCAGTGCAGAGGAGGCCGACACCTGGCAGAGCCGGAAGGATAGCGCGCGTGCGGGCAGCGGCGGCAGCGGTAGGCACCAGAAGACGCGCGAGTGCAGCAGCGACACCGAGTACTGCGCGGCGGACGACCTCGGCTACGGCGGCGGCGGCGGCGGCGGCAGCGATTCCCGGCGGCAGCGGAGCACCGGTGTGGCGCCGCGGATGTGGGCTCGCGGCGGCGGCACGTGCGGGACGTCGCGTCCGAGCTCGAGTCGACAACCGAGGACGAGCGCGAGCAGCTCGAGGCGCGCCGCAAAGCCGTGCTGGCTCGCGCCCGGGCGCAGCAGCACGCACGCAAGAAGGGCGCGCGCAGCTACCGCGTCGCGAACCCCGATCGGGCGCCGCCGGGCCCTGTGCGCGCACACTCGACGGATAAGTACGAGGCGGCGGCGGCGGCGGCGACATGGAGGCCGAGCGCGAAGGCACCGCAGCTGGGTGCGGTGGAGCGCGACGAGGAGGCGTACATGCTCACGCACGAGGTGCTGGCTTATTCGTTTGGGAACGCGGGGTGAGCTGGCAGGCGGGCAGGTGGCGCTGAGTGTGCTTTTGTATTGTTATTTGGTGTATGTTATGTAGCGATAGGTTTCGTATGTCCATGTTATGTATTTGTGCTGAGATAAGCTTCTGGGTCTTAGGTTCCCTTGCCGAGTCCCTGTTGCAATGTAACAGATTTTCTGCGGCTTCAGTTTGAACTCACTTTGATGGCGATCTGGCACTGGTTGAAAGGGCTGGCGCGGTTTCGAGGTGTTAAAGCGACGAATCATGCAGAAATCCAGTCTTCCCGTCGAGGCGGCTCGCACAGCGCGGGTGCAGACGCAGCGTTTTCGGTACAACACTGTTCGTCGTCAGGGATGTTCAAAGTCCACGCGGGTTTCATCTAGCTATACAAGTAATTTCGAATAAATATCGGCCCTTCTGACTACATACGGGATATACAAACTAACCATACGAGCAGTGCTGAATAAATACCAGCCCTTCTAGCATGCAGAATGTGCAAAAAAATCATACGCCATCTCCCTCCCACTTCACGAGGCCTACAAAATGTACATCCTTTCTGCAGCATTGGAGATAGGCGATATTAAGGCTCGAGTTCGAGACCAAGACGGAAGCAAGAACGGTGTCGTTCTGCTGTATCTCGAGAGTGGTCGCGCCAGAGAGGCCGACGGGACCTGACGGGGTCTCGGCAGACGCACCAGTGAGGTTGACCGTGCCAAAGTCGGCAAAGGGGGACGGCTGGTCCGAATCCCCCACCAAGAGGTCACATCTAGGAACCAGTCCGCTTCCCCCATGCACAGAGGGCCGGAATTGACGGCCTGGGAGACGGTCTGGTTCGTGCTCTGGTTGATAAAGACCACCGTGCTCGACGTCGTGTTCGTCCCGGTGGTGCTTATCGTGATGTTGTCACCCACCGAGACGCTGAAGCCCTGGATGGGGACCACATCGCCAGGAAAAGTCTGGTAATAGGCTGCGAAAATATGAATAATTTGTCAGCATGCGAGGGGGGGCGAGGAGTGCGGACTGACCACTAGCGGTCTCCAAATC